TCAAAGTTAGTACTTATTGAGGGCCTACTGTGTGCTGAGCTGAGTCCTGAGGATGCAGTAGGGAGCAGGGTAGACACAAGCTCCTGCTTTAGGAGCTGAAGTGTGGAAGGGTGTGCAGCTGTGGGAGGAAATGTGACCTTGGAGGAAATTGTGAACTATATTCTACATATGCAGAAAATCAGAATCCTGCACGTGTTAGTGAAGGCACGCCCGTGTCAGCAAGGGAGCTGTGGGCTTAAATCCACAATGTGACTTCAAAGTTTCACTTTATGAGACCATATCTGGTTGTCCTCAGCCCATTGCTGGGCCGAGCCACAGGGCCCTCCCAGGTCCACAGGGGCGGGGGGTGGGGGGGGGACATGTGATTCATGGGCCAAATCCCTCTGTCTTCAGTCTCCCATACCACCTGCATCTTTCTAGTACATCACGGCCTTATTTCCCACCCAGAACTTGCCCTGTCTGCACTGACTTTGCCCACTCCACCCTAGCTGCCCACCCTGCTACACTTCAGCTCCCGAGGCAGGAGCTGTTGTCTACCCTGCTCCCTGCTGCATCCTCAGGGCTCAGCTTGGCACACAGTAGGCCCTCAATAAGTACTGACTAAATAAGGTTCAGGCTTATTTAGGTGGCGCCAGTGCTAAAGGACCTACCTGCCAATGCAGGAGACATGGGTTCGATCCCTGGGTTGGGAAGATCCCCTGGAGGAGTATTCTTGCCTGGAGAATCGCGTGGACAGAGGAGCCTGGGGGGATACAGCCTAGAGGGTCACAGAGTTGGACATGACTGAAGCGACAGCATGCACGCACACTCACACAAATACAGTTCAAGTTCCTATTGTGCTGAGCCCGTGGAGGGCCCCACACCCCACCCCAGGGTAAGGGCTAACCCCGGTCGCTAGTGAGGGAAACAAGGATTTATTGAATCAAAATATACCCGCAGGAGCAGATTTCCACTTGAAACGAAACCACACAGAATCTGAGCTTCCCAAGCACAAGATGCTGTCCTTGCAGAAGGAGCCGTCCCCACCCCTGCAGCGTGCATGACCTGAGCTGTCAGCGCCGAGCTGGCTCCTGCCTGGGAAAGGCTTAAACGAGACGACCTCAGAAGGTCCCTTCCTGCTCTGAGTTCTCAAAGGGTCTACACATTCTGCTGAGGTCAGCTGGCCATGCAATGTCATGGTTTCCCCAAAGATTGACCACAAAGCAGAGACCCTCATGGGAACAGTGGTCCTCCCCCCCAACACCCAGTAACAGCCCCCCGGGGTAGGGATGGCTGGATGCAGAGGCTTTCCACTGGGTCAGCCGGAAAGAAGGGGGACAGAACTCAGAAAAGACGCCAACCAGAGATAGCCCACCCCCAATCCGGGTGGACCCGAGGCACTCCATCCTTTTCCAGGAGTGCTCACTGCCTCGCCCCAGACAGCATTTCACCTTGCCCAGCCACACCCCGGGCCCCTCTGTCATTGTGCTTCTCCCTGGGAATGATCCATACGCTTGTCTCTCTGTCCATGGCTGTTGTCCCTGACTACTTGGACAAGCCCTCGAGGAACGTCCCCAGAACAAGACCAACCAGAAGACCCCCCTGGGACACAGGGCACTGTTGCTGGCCTGAAGAACTGCTGCAGGACGAAGCTTTAGCCTCATCAGTACTAATAGATAATCCCATCCAAGTAAACCACTGGGAAGACAGACTCGAGGAGCTGGCCATTCACAGCGGGTTTCTCACGCTCAGCACCAGTGGACCTTTTGAGCTGGGGGAGCCTTCCTGCGTGTCCTGGAATGCTTAGCAGCCCCCTGGGACCACACCCACCACCTGCACCTCCCCACCTCCTCCTGTTCCACAACCCAAACTGTGTTCTGATGTTGCCAAATATGAGGGCTGGGGGTGGTGGAGAACAACCACCTTCATCAGTATTTTAAGGAAGGGAGCAATAAATATGGTGACAGTCAGGGGCTTGCTTCCGTGGTAAAGAATCCACCTGCCAAAGCAGAAGACGTGGGTTTGATCCCTGAGTTGGGAAGATTCCCCTGGAGGAGGAAATGGCAGCCCACTCCAGTATTCTTTTCGGGAAAATCCCATGGACAGAGGAGCCTGGCGGGGTGCTAGTCCACGCAGTCACGAAGGGTTGGACACGTCTGAGCAACTGAGCACACTTGCCCTCTGGAAAACTCTGGGTTCGTGACGTCGCCAGCAGTCACGTGGGAACAAAGCCAAACGTGAACTCAGGTCTTTCTCCAAAAGCCCAGGATCTTTGCAGCAACAGCTTATCACTTTCAGCATGTTTAAAGTGTTGCTGCCTCCCTCCCCAGGCTAGCTGCACGTTCAGTCACCATTTTCATTCTGACGAGGAGAAAAGTTCGATGCACCTGAAGTATCCCATGACTGTTGCGGGGAGGGTTGACAGCAGGACCAGCGTGAAACCCCAGTGATCTGGCCCCGCTGGGGGTCACCTCAGGGTCCCTGGCCCCGAAGGGTAGGGAGGGCACCAGAGCCCTGTAGCAGCTCGTGCCACTGGCCACTGGCACCTCTCGCTCAGGTTTGGAACCAGGCGCCTGGGCAGACTCGCCTGCTCTGTTCATCACTGTGACTCAGCCACTGTGAGCCGCCAGCCTCTGCTCCTGCCCAGGAAACCCTTGGTGCAGCTCCCCCGCCCCGGGGACCCTTCCCGCCCAGGACGCAAGCTGGCTCCCCCCTCGTCCGTCGGGGAGGTGGGGCTGTGCTGGTGTCATGGGCCCAGCGTGACGGCTAAAGGCTCAAAAGAAAGCCAGGCACCCAGACAGAGGCAGCGGCCTTTATTGGGGTAAACCACCACACGCCATCCGGAAAGCCGGCTCCCGCCGCCAGCCCGCAGGGTAGGTTGACAACACAGCCAGGGTTTCAGTGGCTTTTATTTAATACCCAGAAATCCAAAGTAAACACCGCTTAAAACAAATCAAGGACACGAGGATACTGGCACACAAATTGGGCAAGAGGATTTGGCTGCTTTAAAACAACACAGCTCTTGTGTCACATCCAGTTAGGACCTCAGGGCACGTGGGGCTCTGGGCTCAGCGCTTCATGATATCGTGTTTGAGGGGGAACCAGAGCTGCAAGCAGGCGCCCCAAAACCAGTGGAGGGGAGGGCATTCAAAAGACAGGCCATCTGGAGAACAATAAGAGGAGGGATTTCAGGACCTTTACCCATCACGGCATGGGCACCGATGAACTTGTTTTCACTTAGCTCCTGTGGATGAAGGTCCCTCTTTGGGGCAAAGTGGGGGAGGCCATTCACTACAAATGGGAATCAGTGCAGGAGGAAGGTTTCTAGAACTTTCCTCATTTAAGGACTAAGAGGGAAGATTTTGCCGTCCAAGGAACTCCCAGCAAGTGTCAAAAGAAAGTAGTTTCTGTTGCTGCAGTTTCCCCAGAAGATGCTGCAGTGTGTGGGCCTCGCAGTGGGGATGTCCCAGGCCCTGACACTCACGTCCTGACAGCTGTTGTCCCCAGGCCACCAGGGACAACGGGTGGATCCCAAGAGGAGGAATCTAGCCACTTCAGAGGTCACCCTGGCTTCAGCCTCAGAACTGCTTCCCAGCCCTCACCCCACAGACGCTTTCAATTCGGGTTCAGTCCAGACAGCGGATGGGGAGAATGAAGCGGACGGCCCCAGGGGGCCTGCACAGGTGGGCGGAAGGCACGCCCANGGCCCCAGGCTGGCAGCCGCCCGAGCCCAGGCGGAAGAGGCAGCTGTTCTTTAAGTCCTGAGCACTGGTACGCAATGTAAGAGTAACGACGTGCTCAACAGCTCTGACCTGCAGCGGGAAGGCGAATATCACAGAAGAGAAAGGCCCATGTTGCCAGGGTGCTGAGCAAACCCAGGGGGTCCAGCCAGCCCAAGAACCCCGGCTCCGCAGGGAGGTGGGGGTGACCCGGTGGAGGACCTGCCCGAGACCCAGCCGAGGGGTGCCCCTTTCTCTCCTGAGACGAGGCAGGCGAGGGGTGAAGGGCACGCAAATGAGGGATCGCATTTCCTTCGACAGGGCGTCCCAAGGATGCCACAGGCTGCAGAAAGCTGGGACTGGCGGAGGACAGAGGTGAACACTGCACCTCCCCTCTCACAGGCTGAGCTGTGACCCCCCCACCTCAGAACCCACATATTGAAGTCCTAACCCCCAAGACCTCAGAAGGTGACGGTATTTGGGGACAGGGGTCTTCACAGAGGTAATTAAGGTACCATGAGGCCATTAGGGTCCACCCCAATCCGGTCTGCCTGGTGTCCTTGTAAGAGATGAGACACACAGTGGGGAGAGGCGTAGGAAGCGAGGGAAGACGGCGTCCGTCTACAAGCCCAGGAGGATCCAAAGGCACCTGCTCTGCTGACACCACCATCTCGACCTCCAGCCTCTAGAACTGAGACAATAAATGTCCGGGCTCTAACCCACCCCCTAACCCAGGCACTCTGTTACGGCAGCCCCAGCAAACTGAAACACCCTGCTTTCCAAAGGTTTTTGGAAAGGCATCCATCCTCAAACAGAGCCTTTGGGATTGGAGACTTCCCAGCGGAGCTGTCTCCAGCTGCCTTTTAGAGCCAGCTCCGACACAGCCCACTCAGCCGCAGCAAGAGATGAAGAAACGCCTTGGAAACACTTCCTCCCACGGACCGCGGCCACTGGGTCCGCTGGGTCCCAGACATCTGCACAAAAGCGAAATGCAAACCGCACGGAGCGGCCAAGGAACAAGGCTGCGAGTGGACACTCCGGTCGCAGCTGAGGCTTCCGGGAGCTCAGAGGGAATTTTTTTCAAACAGCAAAATGCATTTTTGTAAAAAGGCCTGGCTGCCCAGGAGAGCCCCGCCCAGGAGATGCCACCAGGACAGTCAAGCCATCGCCCCTGCTGCAACGCTGCCGTGCGTTTCTGACGACATGTGATCGCTGGCGGCTGTCAGCTGGAATGCCAGGCACCCCTCTGCCGCCTCCCAGGGGCTGAGGGTCAGGGTTCCGGTTTCTTTTTTCTTTTCCATCTTTTGATAAACAAGAGACTTGGCCCCCTGTGGCACCCCGGTGAGGTGAGGCTGCAAACTCACAAAGCATTGGTGTTTGGAACCTGCATTTCTAAGGATGCTGCCCGCTGTGGAATTACAGGGGAAGGAGGTGAAGAGCATCTACCAGAAACAAAAAGTGGGGTGGGGTGGGGAGCAACCGCGGGCTGGGAGGGGAGGCCAGGGCACCTCCCGAAGAGTGGTCCGCGCTGAGGTCTCTGCTGCCCCTCGCGGTCACTCCAGGTGCTTGTACTTGGTGAACAGGTTGTAAAGAACCCGCAGGGTGGATTTGAGGTCCAGGTTCACCACATCTGCAGAAGGAAAACAGAGAAGCCACGGCAGGTGAGAGAAGGTGCCCCAAGTCCTGGTGCCAACACCTGGGAGACATGGGGGATACCATTCATGTCCCCCGCAGAGCACTCTCGCTGTCCCCGCCACTCACAGGCCGCTGCCCGAGCCCCAAGGCTACCGCCCCGCGGGATGAGCCCTGGGATGGCGAGGATTCTCCTTCATCCCTTCCAGGATGCGCCCAGACAAGTCTGCGTGGTACAGGGTCTCAGACAGCCAAGGACATGTACTGGGGACCGCGGGCCATCCTGCGGGCCTCCTGGGGCAGGGCAGGCGGCAGCCGCGGTCCTACCCCCTCGAGGTCAGGACCAAGGTGTGGCCCAGGAAGTCCAAGCACCTTGTTTGGTGGGAAGGGGCCCTGTCCCCCTGGGGGTCAGGCACCTGGTTCTTCTCCTCACTTGCTCTCTGAGCTGTGACAAGAGCTTGGGGAGGGCTGCAGTTCACGGGTCACGGGACAGAAATCCTGTCCTGGATGGGTGTTCTACAGTGACTGCTAGGCCTCCCAGGGGGCATGGGTGTCCGCGGTCCTACCCGCTCAAGGTCAGGACCAAGGTGTGGCCCAGGAAGTCCAAGCACCTTGTTTGGTGGGAAGGGGCCCTGTCCCCCTGGGGGTCGGGCACCTGGTTCTTCTCCTCACTTGCTCTCTGAGCTGTGACAAGGGCTTGGGGAGGGCTGCAGTTCACGGGTCATGGGACAGAAATCCTGTCCCGGATGGGTGTTCTACAGTGACTGCTAGGCCTCCCAGGGGGCGTGGGTGGAGGCTAACGAGGATGCCCCACCCAGGATTCAAGTTGTCACTGTCAGGCGGGGATCCAGAAGCACTGGGGTCACCTGCACACTTGTTATAATCGGGACTTGGAGGGCCCACGCCACAGCCCCTGGATTGGAAGATGCTTTGAGAAGCACCCTTCCCCACCGCCCCCACCCCAGGGCTTCAGTTGCCCGCCCGATTCCTGGTGGAGGGCATGTAACACAGGAGTCAGTGCGGCAGCAAGGGGGCCTCTCGCTGGGGCTCCGCTGGCCTCCACTGCCGTGCAGACCTCACAGGCCATGACCCAGCCACGGCCCGGCTCACGAGCACCACCGGGCCACCAGACAGCGACCGACAGGCACTGGACTGCAGCCAGCCCTAAGCATCCTCTCAGGACGTGAGGCAGCATCTCTGGTCTGAGCACGGGCACCTGGTGGGCAGTGGAGCCCTGAGGCCGTGAGGCAGAGGCCACAGCCTCCAAGTCAATGCTGACTGAAGAACTGGCCTTGCTGGCTTCGCCAGAACAGGACTCTAGGTCCCCGAAGCCCCGAGGGAAACAGGGAGCTGGGGTCGGCAGAGCCTGGCCTTTGAGCCACACGCTCGGGGCCTGATGGGAGAGACCCGGCCGGTCCCCTAGCCCCTCGAAGACCCAGGTAAGGGTGTTACCTTCAGGGCGAGCCTTGGGCTTCTTAAGGCCTCCGTCCAGCATCAGCTCAAAGGCAAACGACACGTTGTGGACCTGCCAAGGAAGCCAGAGTTAGCGCCGGGGCCGCAACTGCTCCCAGGCCTGCCCACTGGCCCCCACCTCCACCGATTTTCTTCCAAGGGGCTGGAAGCAAGTGTGGACAGGGGGAGCCTTTGGAACAACTCGGCTCACAAGGACCAGGGGTGCCCAGGGCAGGACCCAGGGTGGGCAGAGGGAGGGGGAGGGAGTCTGCTGAGGGCAACACACATCCGCTGAGTCGTCCTCACTCCCCTTCCCAGAGATGAGGGCATGGCCGGGAGACGCAGGAAGGAGAGGAGGGCAAGAAGCTGCCCTGGGGGGTTGGGGGTCTCCAGGCCCCGACACACCCACGTGAAGACAAGTGACGGCAGCTTCCTTTTACAGCTGAGGACCTGAGGCTCAGAGAGGGCAAGTCACCTCCCGAAGGCACCTGGCCCCGGGCCCTGTCCCCAGCACACAGCAGTCCCCTGCTGTCTGTCAGAAGGGCCTCAAGCCAGCCGAGTGTGACGGCGTGCCCTCAGCAGGGGTATATCAGTAGCCCTGACCCAGAGCAGGGGCCGTGGACGCTGCTGGAACTGAAGTCAGGCCCCTGGTGGCTGTTGCATGGCCCTCAACCTGCACGATGCCCTGGAAAGGTGGACACATCTGCGCTCGGCCCCCAAGGAGGCTCAAAGTTTGCACATTTCTGCCGCAGAGGTTAGGCACAGAGCCGCCATGAAGACACTGGCGATCAACCCAAGCACAGCCAACCAGAAGTCTGCTTCGAGCGAAGTGGGAGGTGGGGGAAGACAGGCGGGTGGGGAAACCAAAAAACAAAATAAGTCACAGATGTCAGAGCAGGAAAGGACTTCAGGGCTCTCCTGTAATCAAACAACCTTTAAACAGTAACATTTTCATGATTTCCCTGCCAATGAATCAGAAACACAATAAGTTTGCCTGCAAAGTGGTTTAATGATTAACCAGGAAAGAGACACTTGGCAAAATACTCCTCCGTTCGTCAAGACCACGAGAGCTCAGGGCACAGCAGAGAAGCTTCCAGGCCACGGGGGCACTGGGTGGGTAGCGCTCAGAGACGTAGAGGAGGCCACCGTCCACTGAGTATCAAACAGGCGCCCGGCCCTGGCACACGGGACATGCCCCAGAGTGGGTGCAGGCCACTCACACCCAGACCTGGGTGAGCTGCAAATGATCTGAGGTTCGTGGGCCACACTGAGGGAAGACAGGACGCAGGCTGTCAGAGGCCCACCTGCAGGGCCTGGAGCCAGCCTGGAGAGAGGAATGAACCCGGCTGGGCCTTGGAGAGAGGGCTGAACCCGGCTGGGCCTTGGAGGAGGGACACGCATGGGAGATGACCAGAGGGTCTTAATCTCTCACTTCCCAAAGGAGGTCCTGGGTGAGATGGGTGAGGACATCCGTCAGCTGTGCCAAGAAAGTCCCCGGGCTCTGAGAGACGGGGCTGGGCTTTAGCCCACCCAAGTCTGGATGGGAATCTGCGCCCTGTCTCCGGGAGCATCCTGCCTCTTCCACCATCAGCTGAGATCCGGATCCCTGATTCATACACACAACAGGTTTGGAGTCGAGATGGAGCCAGGACGGCCAAGAGGGAGAGACAGGGCAATGGTCGGGTTAGACCGTCAGCCCAACGTGGGAACAGACGTCTTCCGTGGCCCCAGGCTGGCAGGATGCACCCCCATCACAGGTGTGGAGCATGGTCAAGTCCACGAGGCCCCTCCCTGCCCTAAGGAAAGACTGGCTGGGCGGGGGATGGTGGTGTGGGAGGCGGGGAGGTGCAGAGGTCGGGGGAGCACCCTTTGGAGGCCCACCTCTCTGTAGCTGCTCAGCCCAACCAGTGATAGGTTTGGAGCAAGACTTCCCTCTGCTTTCTTCTCTGTCCAAGGAACCCACCAGACAGGAGACTGCCCCTTTCTCCTTTGTTCTCTCTGAGCCAAGCCTCAACCCCACAACCTCTCTGCCCCTGCAGAGAAGCGCCCTCGGGGCCTGGCTCCATGGACCCAGCACAAAGAAGAGCAAATACCTCCTGACAGGACGTGGGGCCATCTCCTTGACTGTGATCCCCGAGAGTGAGACCCCACCCCCACCCAGGCCACACTCTGAACCCCAAAGCCCCACACTGCTACCAGGAGCCAGTCCACAGCAGAAGCCCCAAAGTGCTTTCTCTCTGTGATGCAAAGGAGCTTCAAAAAACCAGGTGAGGAGAGAGAAGGGCAGAGGGTCCCAGAAAGGAATGGGATCTCCTGACTCCGCCCCCGCTGACTGTGATCCATCTCCACCCTGAGGACCCCTTTCCTCTCCCGGGGACAGGGACTCTGATGATGGAACAAATTGGAAAGCACCCTGAAATTGCAAAGCCCTTTCTGGGACTTGCTTCCAGGAATAACCTCCAGAACACAGGCCACTCCCAGAGAGAGAGGGACACTGCAGAATCTTCCAGAAGATGACCACAGACCCAAGGTACCCAGCAAAGTGACCTGCACAGAGCAAGGCTCAACGGTGGGCCTCAAACAAGAAGCGTGGGTAGTACCCATGCCTCTGAGATGGTTCAATGGGGCCGTTCAGTTGTTTGCAGGAATCTCAGGGTCAGAGACGTCCCATCTCATCTTTTTAAACTCCAGTGCCATCGTTTAAAAGCACATGCCCATGATACATCTAGGATTTGCTCACTGATCTCAGTCTCCTGTCACTGCTACAAGGATTCTCAGTGCCTGGCAGAGTCTGGGGTCCTGGGGATGCTTCGAGAGGGTCCCTCGGCACGTGTCACCACTGCCCGGCCACATTGGGACGAGGTGTCTGGCCCTGACCAGAAGGGGGTTCAGATCTGTGCAGCAGGAAAAGGCCATCATCTGCGAGGTGGTTGGAGGACCTGGAGGTTAGTAAGCCCCATGGCTAATGAGGAAGCTCCTGGTGGTACCAGGAGACCATCACTCATTGGGAGGAAGGGAACAAATCCAGGGGTGGGGCTGGGGGCTAACACGGCTGGAGAAGAATCCTCCAGAATGCCGGCTTCCAGCCAGGAGAGCTCTGGAGGCCCTCGGGCCACCACCGGACCCTACAAGCGTTGACGGTCTCACACCACGCGGGATGCTGTCCCCTACAGCAGCCACCCGTCTCCCGCTCAGAGGTGAAGGGGACCGAACAGGCTTTGAGCCTCCCAGGCCAGAGGGTGATGGACAGAGACTTGTCCTGTCTCAGAGGAAAGGAGGCCAGGGCTGGGAGGGGCCGCCCCTGCTACTGCACAGAGCCTGTCCCAGAAAGAAGCCCAGCTCCAGTTGGCTTGGCTGACTTCACCCTTCTCAGCAGCCGTCATGCTCATTTGAACAAAGAAAAGATCTCTCCAGAACAATGCTTCTGGGAACTTCCCTGGCGGTTCAATGGCTAAGACTTCTGGAAACCTCCCTGGCGGTTCAGTGGTTAAGACTTTGCCTACCAGTGCAGGGGATATGGGATCAAAAGATCCCACATGCCTTGCAGCCAAAAAAACCAACACATCAAACAGAAGCAATATTGTAACACATCCATAAAGACTTTAGAAATGGTCCAGGTTAAAAAACAAACAAACAGAAATCCTTCCGCAGCCAGCTACATGGGCAAGAAATGCAAGATGAGCTGCGTGATCAAGCTGTCTGTCTTCTTGCCTCCTGACTAGCCCCGAGCACTCCCCCTACCCTCGCCCCCTCTGCACTCCAAGGAGGGGAACGTGCCAGAACCTCGCTGATCTGCTCTGATCCATCTCAGCGGGCCAGACGGCAGCGACATTTGGCCGCGAGCAAGCCGCCCTCGAGATGCCAGAAGCAGGCTGACTGGTAAACACTGGCCCGGCTTCCGGATGCGTCTCTGGCTGCCTCCCTGACTCATGGGTCTAGCACTTCGGGAAAATAAAATGACAGATGCTCTCGAGTTCAAGCAATACCGTCAGTCCACGAGCCAGGTTTCTGACGGCGAGGAACTAAACACTGCTGGGACAGCTGGACCTGTGGAAGCCGTTGGCAGGAGGTAAACACCTGGTCACAAGAGTGTCCCAAATGTGAAGCCCATGCCCTTTGACCCAAACAATCCTCTTTGAGGATTTTCCTAGAAAACAATCCAGAGGAATGAAAACATATATACATTTATATTTACATATTCATGATCATGGCATCTAGTCCCATCACTTCATGGCAAATAGATGGGGAAAAAGTGGAAACAATAACAGATTATATTTTCCTGGGCTCCAAAATCACTGCGGATGGTGACTGCAGTCATGAAATTAAAAGTTGATTGCTTCTTGGAAGGAAAGCTATGACAAACCTAGGCGGCATATTAAAAAACAGAGACATTTCTTTGCCAACAAAGTTCCATCTAGTCAAAACTGTGGTTTGTAGTCAGTATGGATGTGAGAGTAGGACTATAAAGAAATCTGAGCACCAAAGAATTGATGCTTTTGAACTGTGGTGTTGGAGAAGACCCTTGAGAGTCCTTTGGAGAGCAAGGAGATCAAACCAGTCAATCCTTTTAAAGGAAATCANCTCCAAGGAAAGCTGAGTGCCAAAGAATTGATGCTTTTGAACTGAGGTGTTGGAGAAGACTCTTGAGAGTCCCTTGGACAGCAAGATCAAACCAGTCAATCCTAAAGGAAATCAACCCTGACTATTCATTGGAAGGACTAATGCTGATGCTGAAGCTGAAGCTCCAATACTTTGGCCACCTGATTCGAAGAGCCAATTCATTGGAAAAGACCCTGATGCTGGGAAAGAGTGAAGGCAGGAGGAGAAGGGGGTGACGGAGGATGAGAGGGTTGGATGGCATCACCGACTCAATGAATGTGAGCTTCAGCAAGCTCTGGGAGTTAGTACAGGACAGGGAAGCCGGGCATGCTGTAGTCCATGGGGGTCAAAGATTCGGACACGACTTAGCTACTGAACAACAATATATTCACATGATACCTTATTGTTTTAATAGCCAAAAAGAAACAAACGGATCGCCCCAAAGTGGAAAACAGGGAGACTGGCATCACAGCCTCTCCATGGACTTTGTGCAGACACTGAAGATGGTGTCTAGGAAGCTCATGAAGCTGCAGGCAGACCACGTGGCACAACCAGGGGAAGGATTGGCAACTCTACTGACATTCGGCCACAATTATTAAGACCAGCATCGTCCCAGGGAAAGAGCCCAAAGAGAACATGGCACACAACCCCTGGATGCATTAGGCACTGCCCACGGGGCTCCTTCCTTTCCCGAGGGTCACATGTCATCACCACACCATTTTCTTGGCAGGCTGGACTTCCCAAAGAGCAGCCTGGGGATTCTACGCTGCTCACTTGGATGGGTGTGTTCCGGGCCACTCCCAGGATGGAGACCGTGCACACACATACCTTCTGGTCAAAGCTGTCAGGGGTCAGGTAGAAGTTGTGCAGAGGTACGAAGTAATCTTCCAGGAGCCCCATGAGCAGCACCAGGTACACGCCGTCTGCAAACTACAGAGGAACACGCGTGATGTTCCAGGCCGTACACGGAGTCAGCAAAGGCTCTGCCGCCACTCAAACGGAGGAAAAGTGTTTTAGAGTTGAAAAAAAAGAATCCATCTCTTGTTGAGGAACTTGAGCCTGCAGTCAGGTGAAGGACCAGGGTGCAAAGTGGGCACTTGAGACTGTACATGATGAGATGAAGTGCGGCTGAGTGGGGAGGACCAGACCACTGACCTAGGGGATAACGCTGGTCCCATCTCTCAGGGTGGCCGTGGGGACCCTGGGTGCGGAGAGGGGAGGCAGGACCTGCCCACCAGCCTTCCCAGAGGACATCTACTGCAGATCAAGGACTTGTGACGAACCCAGCCTCCAGATTCTAAAACCGTGTGGTCCAATACAGTTTCCACTGGCTACATGTGCCTGCTGACATTCGTCACAGGCTTTTAAATGAGACTGACTTATTTCCAGTTTAAACAAGTGGGGAGAAGCTCAGAGAGGTTGAGGAACTGGCTCAGTGTCACAGAAGCTCAGAAGCTGCCCCACAATCTGAAAGTGCTTTTAAAAAGGAGAAAACACACACAAACACACACTCAGGGCAAGAACTGGAGCCCAGTTCTCATTGACTTGCAGGACATCAGAAGTTTAACAACGAACATACTTATGAAAATACTCACAGTCCTTTGCAACAACAAAAAGAAAGATCTGCATTTCGAGGGCTGGGTATCTCTTTTGGTGGATCACTGGCTCAAACTATTTTTAGGATATTACTTCATGTGTGTTTGAAGTTGCTTCAGTTGTGTCTGACTCTTTTCGACCCCTTAAGACTGTAGCCCACCAGGCTTCTCTGTCCATGGGATTCTCCAGGCAAGACTACTGGAGTGGGTTGCCATGCCCTCTTACAGGGGATCTTCCTGACCCAGGGATCGAACCTGCCTCTCGTACGTCTCCTACCCTGGCAGGAGCGTTCTTTACCACTAGCGCTGCTTTGGAAGCCCCGTGACTTCACACCGTGCAGTGACAGGAACAAATGATGTCATACAGAGCAAACAGACATCAGTGCAAATTTAAGTTCAGGATTCAGCCTCAGACGTGTGGCTGTTGCTAGCGGCAGGCAGGGCCAGCTGGCCAGTGACCATCACAGACAGCTGGCGAGGATGTGGGTTCTCACCACCGCCAATGAGAGTTTCAGGCGGGTCAAGCTTCCGGGCCCTCCATGTAACTCCTGACCTTTGCTCTAACAACCCCGTTTGTAGGAGTTTATCCTGAGGAAGCAGATAAAGGCATAAACGGCTGTGTGCAAAGATACTGGTTGTACCGCTTTTTACCAGATCAGGAAACGTCCCATCACAAGGACTGGATTTAATGACACGCAGAATAGGAGGCAGCTACTAAAGTGAAGAACACAGACAGGCCAGACAACACAAAAGGGATGCGACAGAAACCCACTCACTCACACAAAAAGATGCCCACACTATTAAGTAACACTTTGCAAAACAGCTGTTTTACAAAAAAAAAAAAATGACCCACAGCCATTTCAAAAAACACACTCATGCATACAAACCATCTAGAAAAATGCACACCCAACCGTTAACTGCAGTTGGTTACCTCTGGAGAGAATGGTGAGGGAGTTGGGGCGGGGGCAGACTAAAAGGATGGTTCCTCTTCAAATGAGTACACTTCTGGACTGTTAACACATCAAGCCGCAAATAATCAGAGGCTAAATGTGCAATATTAGTAAATGCTAAAAAAAAAAGTGTTCTTGCAAACAAAACACAAATAAATATATACGTTAAAAAATGGACCATTCAGCTTTCAAACATAGAGCGAGCTGCCCGCTTGGAGCCATCCGTGTAGAGAAACGATCTGTAGTAAACCCCTAGCGCCGTTATCTCTGGGTGAGGGGATTACGGGTGATTTTTATTTGTTTTGGTTATCTGCATTTTCAGACATTTCTACAATGAACCTGAATTACTTTTTTAATTAGAAAAGCAAATGAGAAAAGTTAAAGAAAGAGGAAGGAATGAACACAATCACCCAGGGGTTTAAGAAGGATCAGCTGCACATTAGAGAGACGGGCACTGAGAACGGGAAAGACGTCAAACAAGCACCCAGCTAATCCTGGGGAAATTATATTTTGCCTTTAATGCTTGCCGAGTGCTCAAAACATATTTTCACGCTGCAGCTTTCTCTTTGAGTGGGGGTGGGGAGGTGTACTTTCTACACTTGCGGCAGGAGAAATATGTGGTGTGTATTCACTAGAGGGACGCCAGCCAGCATTTGCTGGCTAAGCACTCAGGGTAGACGGCCACGGACAGCAGAAGCAGAGGGCGCCAGGGACGTCCTGGTGGTCCAGAGGTTAAGTAAGACTCCTCACTCCCACTGCAGGGGGCTCGAGTTCGATCCCTGGTCGGGGAAATAGATTCCACATGCTGCGCAGCCAAAAATTTTTAAAATTAAAAAAAAAAAAGAAGCATAAGCAGAGGCAGCTACACTTCCTAGCCTGAGGGACCCACACACGCAGAAGCTCTTCGGTGTGGGTGCCGGCACCTTGGAGGGTGCTGTGGTTGAATTGCATCCCTGCCCCAAAGAAGTCCCTGATGCTGGGAAAGATGGAGGGCAGGAGGTGAAGCGGGCAGCAGAGGATGAGATGGTTGGAGGGCATCACCGACTCAATGGACACGCGTTTGAGCAAGCGCCAGGAGCTGGTGATGGACAGGGAAGCCTGGCGCGCTACAGGCCATGGGGTCGCAGAGAGTCGGACACGACAGAGCAACGGAACAACAATGACCAGAAAAGATGTGTTGGAATCCTGACCTCCCCCCTCTAGAACCTGTGTGTAAACTTACTTGGAAATAGGGTCTTGGCGGAAGTAAGGTCATTAGGGTGGGCCTTAATCCCACACGACTGTGTTTTTACCAAAAATGGGGGGAAATTTGATACAGGTCCATGTGAAAGTTGAGGTGCTTCCGTGATCTCCCCTGTTAGCTGGAATGAAAGGCCCGAGTCGAAAACGAAATGTTCTTACAATCCCCTTTGGTTTTAATGAGATAAAACCTAAATCTATCCCAGCAGGTAAAGAAACACACAACTGTGTCCACCAGCCCATGTGCACGTGTGGTGTGCACACGTACCATATTTAACATCCCTGCAGGAGAGTCATCTGCGCCCTCAAGATGGATGTGACGACTCCCACTCAGGGGGAGATAATTAAATGCTTTAACGTAGGCTAGATGTAGCCTTGAACTACAAAAGACTGAGACAGACAGGCTGCCTGGGGCCACCTCCGTCAGAGTTTCAGTAAATGAAGAGACCTCAGAGATTTGCTGCTGCTGCTAAGTCGCTTCAGTCATGTCTGACTCTGTGCGACCCCATAGATGGCAGCCCACCAGGCTCCCCCGTCCCTGGGATTCTCCAGGCAAGGACACTGGAGTGGGTTGCCATTTCCTTCTCCAGTGCATGAAAGTGAAAAGTGAAAGTGAAGTCGCTCAGTCGTGTCCGACTCTTCGTGACCCCATGGACTGCAGCCCACCAGGCTCCTCCATCCATGCGAGTTTCCAGGCAAGAGCACTGGAGTGGGTTGCCATTGCCTTCTCCGCCGAGATTTGCTGAGTCCTGGTATATACCTACACAGGGTCACTGGCTTCTCCTCTCTGGCAAAAGTTTAAAATTTGTCACTTGCAACTTTTCTCAGTAATCAAGCCCCACTTTAATGGAATCTCAGTATCAACCCCATCTCTCCCTACCCTGGACATGATGTCATTTTCTATTCATCTAACCCAACTATACTGTGTGCCCAGCACTCTGCTCGGTGCTGGGGACGCAAGACAGTAAGTAAGACAGAGCCCTACCCTGATGTCTGGGACACGATTTTCCATACACACACCCAGTGGAGGCAACAGGGAATCCAGAGACACAGCAAAGCTGATGAAATGTAAATGTCACAGCCGGGTGGGAGGGTGTCAATGAGAAGCACGTGGATCCCTGGAAGACGAGGGGGCAGGGGAGGACCTGGGCTGGGGGTAGGAGTGGGTGGAGTGGGCGGAGCAGCCACCCAGGCCGTGTCCACCTGTGGGAGCCCTCCAGCACCTTCCAGCGGGGGCTGGAGGTGGGTGGGATGGGAGAGGGGAGTCGGGCGTGACCTCGGAGGGACCTGGAGAGCTGGACAGGGCCCGCCTGCTTTTTTTCTGGGATTCAGGAGACACTAACCCAACTCCCAGTGTGGGGGAGGGGAAGGGCCAGGCTGGAAGCAGGAAGGTGTCAGGGAAACCAAAGGATTCTTTCTTGGTCATTGCTGGGATCCCCGCAACACGCCTTCTCGAAGAATGAATCAGATCTACTGCAAGTCAGGGCTTCGGTGGTGGCTCAGCGGTCAAGAATCCACCCGCCAGGGCAGGAGAGGGTGGTTTGATCCCTGGGTCGGGAAGATCCCCTGGAGAAGGAAATGGCAACCCACTCCAGTATTCTTGCCTGGAAAATCTCATGGACAGGAAAACCCCACGGCCTGCTGCAGGCCACGGGGTCGCAAAGAGTCAGACGTGACTGAACTAGTGGATGACAACTTGTGCATGGATGTGAATGGGTTGTGAATCCATTCTTGGGAACGGGTTCCAGGGCCCGGATGTGGCCGGGGTTGGGTCGGCAGTACTGCTCTGAGGCCCAGAGTGTGTGGCTTATTATCCAAGGACATTAAGTAGGCTCGGCCCCAGAAGGCCCACTTCTGCAAAGCACTTCAAGAACTAACAATCTCATCATCCCAGCCTGGACCAACATTTTCCAAATGTGAGTTCCATGGGAATTTAATGTGTTCTATCCCAGTATACTTAAATCAACAGATCTCACTACAGACAAACAAGCTTGGAAAAATGCACCCCACCAAGCCCCACTCTTAGTGAAGTGAACGTCGCTCAGTCATGTCCAACTCTTTGAGACCCCATGAACTATCCAGTTCATGGAATTCTCCAGGCCAGAATACTGGAGTGGGTAGCCTTTCCATTCTCCAGGAGATCTTCCCAACCCAGGGATCAAACCCAGGTCTCCTGCATTGCAGGCAGATTCTTCCCAGCTGAGCCACAGGGAAGCCCAATCCCCCTCTTGGAGAACTGCAAAGCATGTCAGCACATTACAGACTCTGAGAAGTCCTACATGAAGCAACCTGTATGAGAAAACTATCCAAGATCGAGAGCTGTCTCCGCAGGGTCGAGGGCTCAGACTTTACAAGCTGAGATCCATCCCACCGCTGCCTTCCTGAGCATTCTGTAGGCACTCAAATAACTTGATGTGTACTGAGTCTTGATTCCTCTTGGGGAAGAGAAAGCCATCAGCCTGGAAGCTGGCCATTCCCCAGCCCCCGACTCCAGAGCCTAGTTCACGCGGCTTCTTCCATCGAAGACCGACCGACCAGCAGGCGGTCTCCCCTTTGTGCTCCCAGCTGGGGAGACAGGCCAAATGGAGCTCAGAACAACTCTGCCAACAGTGCCTGCTTGTTTACCAGGCACATCGTGGATGCAGCGTTGCGGTAACGAGGCCAGCACGAGCCAGCAGGCTTACACGCTGAAAAACATTTCCACATTGAAAAAAAGCCTTGATTCGGAATGAACCGCCCCCCAACGCTGGCGGGGTAATTCACTCCACAGCAGTGGCGGGGCGGGTGGCCAGGAAGATACCCAGGAGCAGAGATGCTGAGTTAAAAAGGTGCTAATTTTATGCACCGCAGTTACTCTTTTGACTATAATTACACTTCAATCCATGTGGCAAACATTTCAGAGATTTCAAACATTTTCCCACCTCTTTCCCAGCACGGAGTTCATGCTGTAAAAAAAAAAAAAAAACACCCAGAGATGGAGGGAAACACCATGACCGAGAACTCACCTTCTTCACGACACTGAGCTTGTCGGGGGCGTGGTCGAAGAGCGTGTCGAAGGCGTCCCGCTCTGCAGAGACACGGAGAAGGGTTTAAGGAAACGTGGCTTCTGGCTCTGATCATTCCTGCACATCCCCGGAACCAAGCAGCGTCTAATCCCCCGGCATGTTCCACCTGCCTGGGATCCTTTGCATTCCTGCCAGAGCCGAGAGGCAGGTGCTGATGAGGAGCAAAATCAAGGGAAAGATGCTTTGAAGGGTCCCTTTAACTGAGTTTCTGCCTCTTAGCACAGAATACAGGGGAAGCACTCAGACATCACATCCTAGCGCCCATCCATCACATTCTAATCTCTCTCTATTTTCCCCACATGCCTTATCTTGTTCGATACATCTGATGGATAAACCTGACCACCTGCCCCGCTAGTCGTGGCTGCCCCCTCAAACAAGCCCTCACCTGGGGATGGTGGCAACAACTTCCTGTTGAATGGATCCCACTCCTGCACTCCCAACCCCTCCGATCCATTCTCCCTCGAAGGCCCAGTGAGCCCTTTAACATTTTGCTGTTCAATCGCTAAGCTGTGTCCAACTCTTTGGGACTCCATGGGCTGCAGCACGCCAGGCTTCCCACTTTAAAGTGTAAACTGGATCATTTCTCCCCCCTCCCCACCCCTGCTTTCTTTCTATAAAGAAAGAGGAGTGCCAAAGAATTGATGCTTTTGTTTTTTGGTTTTTTTTTTTTGTTTTTGTCATACATTGAAATGAATTAGCCATGGATTTACATTTTTGAACTGTGGTGTTGGAGAAGACTCTTGACAGTCCCCTTGGACTGCAAGGAGATCCAACCAGTCCATCCTAAAAGAGATCAGTCCTGGGTGTTCATTGGAAGGACTGATGCTGAAGCTGAAGCTCCAATACTTTGCCCACCTGATGCAAAGAGTTGACTCATTTGATAAGACCGATGCTGGGAAAGATTGAAGGCAGAAGGAGAAGAGGATGACAGAGGATGAGATAGTTGGATGGCATCACCGACTCAATGGACATGAGTTTGAGTAAACTCTGGGAATTGGTGATGGACAGAGATGGATGGCGTGCTGCAGTCCATGGGGTCACAAAGAGCCAGACATAACTGAGCAACTGAACTGAACTGAACCCCACACCTGCGGGGACTAAAACCCCCCATCACTCTCTCATCACTCTTAGAATAAAATCCCTCTCTCCCATGGGCCCATAGGGTCCACGAGTTCAGCATCACCTCTCAACAAGCCCCCCGGGAAACCTCATCCACCCACCAGCACCTCCCTCCGTCACACGCCCACCACTGGGCCTCTGCACCTGTTCCTCATCAGCCTCACCTCCTTGAGGTCGTCTGGGGGGCCTTCTATGATCACCTGTCTCTAAAAGAGCACCCCACTTCCGCTCTCTGTCCCCTTACCCTGGTGCAACTTTCATAGCAATTACTCACGGCTGTCAGTAAAGAATCTGCCTGCAAGGCAAGAGACCCAGGTTCGATCCCTGGGTCGGGAAGATCCCCTGGAGGAGGAGATGGCAACCCACTCCAGTATTCTTGCCTGCAGAATCCCATGGACAGAGGAGCCTGGCGGGCTATATAGTCCACGGGGTCGCAAGACTCGGACACAGCTGAGCGACCAACCCACCACCATCTCTCTGCAAGCACGTTCTGTTTTCACTTCTCCGCTGGACTGTCCGCTCCTTGCAGCCCCGGACTGCTGGCTCACTTCTTCGCTGCACCATCACTGGCTCCAGAACCGTGAAGGGCCCGCAGCCGGTGCTCAGAACAAAGGAAAGAGCCAGGAAATCCTGCTCAGAACGCCTCGCGAGCGGCTCTTCCCCGGGGTGTCCGCCTCTGTGGGAAGACCCACAGGGCCAGAAGGGGCCCGTCCCGCCACGTCCCAGGGACCCCAGCCCACTCTACCTGCCTGCCACTCGTGGGCCCAGCCATGCCTTCCAAATTAACACAGAATCAGCCCCTTCTTTTTCAGTTGCGAGGCCACCAGAGGCCAGGGCGATGTGGCCATCAGTGGACCAAACAGGAGCAGGGCTCTCTGGGGCCGGGGCCTGCTTCCAGCCTGAGGCTGCCGTGGCGGGTCACACAGGGCCAGACAGAGCCTCTGGGCCGCCTGGAGCCCAGGCTGGGGGGCGGAGGTCTCAGGGTGGGACCCAGGGCTGTGGGGGAGTCGCTGCCAGGATGGAGCAGGTGGGGAGGAGGGCATCTGGAGGCCATGGGGCCTCCCTTCTGTCCTCAAGGATCCCCAGCCCCACAAGGTGCCTGGGGGTGGTCATTGCTCAGAGAACCTCAACCAGCAGAGAGGCCCTGTTTCTGGGTCTCTATCCAAGCTGGGGCTGGGACTCAAACCCCCAGCGTGGAGTCTGGGGGAGGGCTGGGGTAGGAAGAGCCCCTCCGCCTGTCTGGAGGGGACTGGGACCCAGAGCTAGAGATGACCCAGCGCCTGCTCCAGGACCGCAACAACAGAGAGGGGAGAAACGAGAAGAAGGCAGGTCATGACCGAGGAGCCAGAGCCTGCGCCTCTCCTGGGGGAAGCGTCCCAGCTACTCCCCCAGGGCGGCCCCCCAAAGGCAGGCGCTCAGCACCCACCAGCCAGGGCCCCTGAAGGCAGCTGGCCCAGCCCAGGTAGCCTCCCCACTGGCCTTGGGGGCAGGCGGCAGGAAGGAAGGTGAGAGGCAAAGAGGAAGGTGTGTATGCACAGTGTGTGTGTGTGTGGTGCGTACACACACGTGTGCACAGGGGTGGGGCGTGTGTCTGCAGAGGGGCACCCCGCTTTATTCACCTAAAGGCCAACAGCAACCCAAAGGCCCGACCCCGCAGGTTTCCCTCCCCCCAGCTTTTCTACCGCAGCAGCTGTAAATTATTTTTATAATCATCTAAGTCCGATTATACTCAACAAGGCAGTCTGCTAAGAGGGAGGGAAAAAAAAAAGCTAAATCTTCACAAAGCAAAACACAAACTTTAAATGCAGCTTTTAAGAAAACCCCCAGGAGCAGAACAGCCTTGACGTCAGCCGGGTATATTTAGCCGAGCCACCGCTGGGCCGGCAGAGGCAGGACGGCAGGGGGGCCATTGCGGGGCCTGAAGGTTGGAGCCCCCACGCCCACTCACCTGCACCTGGGGGTGGGGGTGCGGATGGCGTCACGGCCGAGGCCTGGGGAATGACAACTAATCTGGCCGAGAGCCTGGGGCCCATGACTTAGGCAAAGCGTCTCCCTCCATAAGGTGGGGGTGAAAACAGACCCCAGCTCACCACCAGTGTGAAGGATTAAGCGAGGTAAAGAATCAAGGGCTTCCCAAGTGGAGCTAATGGTAAAGTACGCGAATGCATGTGCATATGAGATATTAGAGACACAGGTTCGATCCCTGGGTCGGGAAGAGCCCCTGGAGGAGGGCAAGGCAGCCCACTCCAGTGTTCTCGCTTGGAGAACCCCATGGACTGAGGACCCTGGCGGGGGCTATAGTGCATAGAGTCACAGAGACGGACATGACTGCAGCGACTTAGCACCCAGCACACGCAGGGAAACGTACTCCCCTGGCGGCTCAGACGGTAAAGCGTCTGCCCACAATGCGGGAGACCCGGGTTCAGTCCCTGGGTAGGGAAGATCTCCTGGAGAAGGAAATGGCAACCCACTCCAGGATTCTTGCCTGGAAGATCCCACGGATGGAGGAGCCTGGTAGTCTACGGTCCTTGGGGTCGCAAAGAGTCGGACACGACTGAGCTACTTCACTTTCACTTTCACGCGCAGGTTATAAAGGGAGAAGCAAGTGTGTCCCTGATGTGTCCTCTCGTCCTGACCCCACCCTGGCCTCCCTCTAGGCTCTGGGGACAGTCACAGGGATGAATGAACAGGGGGCAGCCCCGCCCCCGGGAAGGGCACAGGCAGTCCAATAATGGGTACCAATAAAGCCAGAAAGATGCAGGAAGCGGCCGCATCAGCCAGGGCCCCAGTGTCCACCCAGGTTCAACTTCTGAAGATGCTCAGCTTACTCCAGACGAAGTAGGCTCTAAGTCTGCATTTTTGAAATCGGAAGGTCTGTCCAAAAGTCCAGAATTTCTGGCTTCTCTTGAAGAAGCAGGAGCCAAGGAAACAGTGAACCTCCATTCGCCCTCTCCGACTCCCAGCATCGACAAGGCGCCCGTGGAAGTGGGGGCACAGACTCCCCCGTTCGCCCCCAGGCACCAGCACTCACCAGCACTGGGGCGGAGGCAGCCCTTCATCATTCAGTATTCTCGACACTTCCCTCTTTCGTGTGACCCGCCTGGTCCCTGAGGACCCCCAGCTTGGGGATGTGGACACAGGCCTGGGGTCAGAGGAGCCCCGATGTTTGAGCCGGGGCTCACTGGGACAAGAAGAGGAGGGTGTTCTGGGCAGAGGGAACAGAAAGCCAAGAGTGGGTTCCAGATGGTGTGGCCTGGGTGGCGGTGGGGAGGCTAAGAGGGCTGGGTCCCTTGGGGGTGAAAGGAGTGGTGGAGGGTGGAGACCAGGAATGGTGTGATCCAGCTGCAGCGTCGGGAGCAACGGGAGATGTGAAGGGGAGAGACCAGGGCCTGCAAGGAGACCTGGAAGAAAAGGAAGACAGCTTCTCCATCCTTCTCTCCAACTTCCTGAAGCCCGGGAGGGGAGGGGCGCCTGCGGAGGAGAGGCAGCCAGCAAGCCCGTTACCATGGAGATCAGGCTGCAGCTCCCCAGCTCCCCCGGGGAGAGAAGGGCCTCCCATCCACCCCAGCCAGGACAGCAGAGCCCGAAGGAGGCGGGTGGGGGGGTGGTCCCAGGGGAGGTGCAGAGCGCCCTCCCAGCCCCCACCTCACTCAGAGTGCCAAGGTGAGAAACTGAGGCTGAGAACTGGGCTCCCTGTGAAGCCTGCACCACCCCCGCGCCCCGCCCCAGGGCAGACATGAGCCAAGGAGGGTCTGCCTGGTGTTGCGGTGCTCCTGGAACGCATGTGGTCCAGGGCTGGGGATGCACGTGGGGGACACACGCCCCAGCCCACAGGAGGCTTACAGCTCAAGGCACGTGTGTGTGCTCACACACACTCATGGGGGTGTGTGACCCCCATGGACCGGAGCCTGCCAGGCTCCTCTGTCCATGCGATTCTCCAGGCCAGAATCCTGGAGTGGGTTGCCATTTCCTCTCCCAGGGGAGCCTCCTGACCCAGGGATCGAACCTGCATCTCCAACATCAGCAGGCGGATCCTTTACCACTGGGCCAACCGGGAAGTCCATGACTCAAGGAGCCATGTGCCAAAGGCAAGAGGGCAGGGCCAAGCGGGGGTCCCTGACTGTCCAGGTTCCCCCCATGCCTGTCAGGCACGGAGCAAAGTGTTCCCAGCAAAGAGATGAGTAAAGAGATAATGGAGGGGCGAGGGGGCCAGAGAACAGGCGGTGATTTGGGCAGGGGTGTCAAGGAGGGCCTCCCTGGAGGAGGTGAGCCACCGGGTAATCTAGAGGGGGAGCATTTCAGGCCGAGGGTACTGTGCGTATAAGAGCTGGAAGGGGAGTGCGGGGTGGGGGGCTACTGAAGGTGCACAGGGGGGCCAGGAGGCCAGAGCGGAGAAGAGGGGGCGTCCAAAGGGGGATCCAAGGGGGCCTGGGAAGCCCTTGCAAGGCTTTAGCTTTTGGCAAGCTGGGGGTGAGCAGAGGGAGGGGTTAAGGCATGCAGAGGAGCCAACTCGAGGGACCAGTGGGGGGAGGTGATGGGGTCTTGGGGCCACGGGGTCCGAGGGCTCCCACAGGAGACGGGCTGGCAGAAGCTGCCACGCGTCAGGGTAACCAGGAGACCCAGGGACCTGCGTCAGCAGGAGCAGAGCTGGGGGCGGGCGAGTCGCCTGTCACCCACTAATGGCCTGTTTGTATTTCAGGAGCATGGGCGGCCCCAGACGTAACGAGGGCGACGACTCCAGGCTCTTCAGCCTCTTGGGTGCCCGCCCCCCACCACGCTCAGCCATCTGCGGGGACTCTCAGCCGCCATCCAGTCCACCAGACCCCCAAGCGCCCCTCATCAGGGCTGCCAGGGCCTTTCTGGCTGAGCATCTAGCCCCTTCTAGCGTGGGAGGCTGCACACAGACCCCAGCGGAACTGATTCCCCCCGAAGCCCCCCAGCTAGTCCAGTCCCACTAGTCCTGTCCCCACACAGAGGTGAAAACACATAGGAAGCCAAGGCAATGCTTAAAGATGCTCGGAGGGCCCCACCTGGGTCACCTCTGTCCTCGACAAGCCCACCGGCTCTGATCCCCTCCTGCCGAAGGGACAGGGAGGGGACAGCAGGGTGCCCTGCGCCCACCTCTCTGCACTCCCAGGGCAGGGCCAGGCGCCCCCACACCGGCTCTGGAGCTGCACGTCCCAGCCTATTCTGCAGCCTCAGCAACTGAGCACAGGAGGATTCCTTTTCACTCCCTTTTTATTTAATGTTTTTTAATAATAAAGACATTAAAAAGAACTCCACTGCTACTTAAAAAAAAGTGAAGACTGCATTTCCCCAGCACAGCTCCGGGACCACTTAAGGACACTTAAGGACATACAATCGCTGCATTTTCTCTGGTTCAAGACCTCTGGGAACTGAAGAGCCGCTCGTCCTCTCTGTGCCCAAGTGGCAGGGGTGACTCTGGTCCCCATAATCACCGTGAGGCCACAGAGGCCAAGCTCGGGGTGCCCCCAAGGTGCACCCCTCACCCTGAGGCCCCCACCCGCGGCTAGGGACCAGCTCCGGTGGCCAGCTCACAAGGCATGCGGGAAACTTCTGTTTGGTCTCTATTTTCCTCCTAACATCTACGCTCCCCTCTCTGCTCTCTGGAGAACACGGCATTTGGGGAGTGCTGAGGATTTCTTGATTTGAAATATCACCAAAGCGGGGAGCCTGGCTCCAGATGCCTCTGGCTGTGACTAAGAGCTGGGGGCTTCCCCTCCTGGAGGGCCGAAATGCTGCCATGAGCTGCCCTTGCACCTGCCACCCTTCCCCGAGATGAAGATGGGATGGTGGGGCTCTCAGGGGGCAGAGGACAGCTCTGTGGCAACAGCCACTGAAAACCAACAGAGAAAGAGCCCTGGGCCAAGCAGAGTGAACGTCTGTTATCTCACAAAATCCACCAGCAATCCCGAGGACCCATTTCACAGATGGGGAGCAGCGAGGTGAAGGAGGAGGCCAAAGGTCACGGGACCAGAGTCAAGGCTGCCTGACTCTAAGGTCTGCTAAGCCGGAGATTTTAAGGTGGAAAGCTATGTATGAAAGTACATCCCAGGACTTCCCTGGTGGTCCAGTGGCTAAGACTCTGCGCTCCCAACACAGGGGTCTCCGATTCCATCCCTGGTCAGAGACCTAGGTCCTACATGCTGCAACTAAGAGCTCAAATGCCGCAACTAAGAGCTCAAATGCCGCAACTAAAGATTCCGCGGGCCGCAACTGAGATCCGGTGCAGCCCAATAAATTAAATAAATGATCTGTTCGGTAAAACGTACATCCCATAAGGAACCTCTGAACCTCTGGCTAGCTAATGATGCTCTGTATTCACAGGGACATCCGCCCTCCCCCTTCTCCTGGTTCACCCCCACCCACCACACTTCTCTAATCCCCCGCCCAACCAGCTGAGAAGCAAACCACACGCCAAAACCCATCCTGGGCCCTGCGGCCTCTGAGAGACCATGTGAACCCTGGGGGTTCTCGGGGTGGCCCCACAGTGCCCGGCGACCTCAGACGCCCCATGCCCTCCCCAACCGCTCCCCCCCAAGTTACTTACCAAAGCGGCCCATCATCATCCTGCAAACAAGAGCAGAGAGACGCGTCAGAGGGTCCTCAGAGTTGAGTGAGCAGCGGGGCGGAGGGTGGCGCGGGTGCCCCGCAGGCCCCCAGCTGGCCAGTCGGAGTTATAAAAATGTAAGTCCCACTTGGATAAGTTCTCTCCCGCTCTAATTACAAACAGGAGGTGCTTATGTGGATTCTAAATGTTTGCACAGGACGGGCAGCAAATAGACATCTCTAAGCCATCCTTTTAATGCCATTTGGGCGGGTGGTGGGGAACGGGCATTTAATCGAGGGAGTAGTTAACACGGAGAACAATTCAACAGAAAACGGGTCTTCTGGCACCTTGAGCTTAAACTTTAAAATAAAACGATTACAGTCCATCAGGTGCTTGGTCGTGTCCGACTCTGACCCCGTGGCCGGCAGCCCACCAGGCTCCTCCGTCCCTGGGATTCTCCAGGCAAGAGCGCTGGAGTGGGTTGCCATTTCCTTCTCCAGGGGCTCTTCCCGACCGTGGGATCAAACCCACGTCTCCTGCACTGCAGGCAGATTATTTACCACTTGAACCATCAGGGAAGCCTTGAGTTTAATCTTTAAAACACAAGGGTGCAGACTACCCAGAGGTCACATTCTGGGGAGTGAGGACAACACATTTCCGGGGAAGCGGGAAACTAAAGGGTCCTGGAGAAACACAGGCTGGGCCCTGACTCAGGGTGAGAGCTGAAGCCATGAAGGACGGGTGGCTGGGCCCTCCCGGAGGATCTGAGAGCACAAACGCACAGGTGCTTTCTGTGCACCAGCTTCCTGAGAGGCAGCGAGACCTCGGCTTCACCCCCAAACCCCTCTAGACTCAAGTCCTTTCCACCTTATTTAACAAGTAGTCTCTAGAGCACCTACTATGCACAGGCCATAGAGATATGGAAATAAACACCCCGTGGCCCTGCCGCAGGACCCCTGATGGTGAGAGAGACTCCTAAGCCCACATTTCTACACAGCCCACACACACCAGAAATGAGACATACAGGAGATGCTACGGGAAGTAAAAGGAAGCCAGCCACTCCTGCTTGGCAAACAGGGAGGGCTTCCTGGAGGAGGCGACCCACAGGACAGAGAAAACCTGGAGTCTGGGAGACCAGGCAGGAGGCTGGGCAGCCTCTGCTGGAAGCCTCTCTCTACCTTGACTTCGGGGCACCCCTCCCCCCCCCACCACACTGCCTGAAATTCCCTGAGGGCCACACTGTACTTCCCACAAGGCCCCTGGGCTGGATTTCACATTTCTACGGACACGATCTTTCTTGCCAGCTAGACCGCCACCCATGGAGGAGGGAAAGCGCATCCCCTTAGCCTCTGGGCACCCAGCACAGTGCCCGGCACACCGCAGGCCCTGTGGGTGCTGGTGACCGGTGTCAATCGTTGGGGCCACTCCCCCAGGGGCCGGCTCTGGAGACAAAGCTCCCACTGCCCCCTGCTGCCCTTTCAGGGATCCCTCGCCCGCTTCGAGACCAGGGAAGACGGACACAGCGTCTTCCCATCACTGCAGGCAAGTAAAAGTTAAGGATTTTGAAAGAGGAAATGGGGGAGATGTGTTTAGACTGATCGGGAGCACCTGTGGTCCTCACTGATTCATCCATCTATCTTAGCTCCGTCAGAGGGAGGGCGCCCCCCGCCATCAATAGGCCTGGCTGCTCCCGGCCCCTTCAATGGGCCATCTGCCTCCTGCCCTCCCATCCAGGGGGACCCGGGACTCGCTGTGACCCACAGAAGACAGGGACACAGCATGCAGGGGGCCAGAGGCCTGCAGTTGCTCTGTCATGCCCCGGGGACCCTGAGGACACCCGGGAGGAAGCCGGCTCCATGAAAGTGAAAGACACGGGGAGGGACAGAGGCCTCCACCGGCCAGCGCCAACCACCAAACTGTCAGCAAACAAAGTGACTGTTGATTTAAGCCCCGAGGTTTGGGGTGGTTATTTACACAATGATGGATAACCAAGACGCTAGCCCGCTCCTGACTACCCACCCCCCAAGCTGCCCTTCTTCTGCTCCCGAAGGGGCCGAGCTGGCTGCCTGAGACCCCTCCCCAGGCCAGGCTCAGCACCGCGTCCCTGTCCCCCCTCCCCTCCCGGGGGCCATGAACAGCTGTACACACACGTCAGGAAACACCCGTCTCTCCCGTCCACCTGACGGCTCCCACGCCGGGAGTGGCTTCCTGTGTCGGCCTGATTTCTGAAAGACCATCCATGAATTCATGACACAGTAATTAATCACTCCCTGAACTGAGCAGGTGGGTGAGCTGAGACGATCAATTTTTAATGTCCTGTTTCATCGGGAACAGTTTTAGTAGGGAGGCACAGAGGCAGTGCATTTTAAAGGCTCTTCGGAGGGTGTCCTAAGGCCTCTTACAAACCACACGCAAAATAGATCCATTTGATTTGCTATTTTCAATAGCTTTGAAGCTTTTCAGACTTCTTAAAAACTGCCCTCCAGCCTTCTCGAAAAGGCCAGAGATGGCTCAAGACTTTCTCAAAGGAAGTTCTAGTTTAGATGCGTGACTCCCTCCCTCCAATGGAGCTAAGATGGATGAATCAATTAGGACCACGGGTCCCTGGACCAGTCTAAACACCTCTGCCCCATTCCCTCTCTCAACATTCTTAAAGTTCACCCTCCAAAATAAGGAATAACAGTCCACATCTTTGGAGAATAACTTACTTCAAAACATTAAAAATTTGGACGTCATTAGCATGCCTAACTACAAGGAAGTTCACTGTTATAAATTTCCCCTCATTTTTACAAGAGATTTTGAATGTGATCAATTATGTCTTTCTTTATTATTCCCTGTCTCATTCCAGAAAAGATTTCCAGCAGTGTAAAGAAGTTTTAATTCATATGCCACAGGTATTGACTCATTTTTCTATTTAGGGAGAAAATAAAAGATATGGGATTTCTCATTTAAACACCAAGCCAAACTGCTGTGTCGCCCTTCTTCAGCAAGACAAACAAACAAACAAAAAAGAAAACAACAAAAATCAAAACCAAAAACACTTTGAAGAACGTGCACGGAAGATGGAAAGCTAGGGTGGACACTTGGAGAAAAGTCCATCCCAGGGTCAAGGGTCACATAGAGGAAAATGGCCCCTACATGTCTGAGGGTCCCCAGCTGGAGCAGGGCCTGGGGGCGGGGTCCACTTACTCGGTGGTCGTCGTCAGCTCCTCAGTGACGTGGCTGGAGTGCAGCAGGCCTTCCCGTTTCTGAAAACCCCAAAATGGACAAGCAGATCAACACGCGGGCAGGCAGGCAGAGCAGGAGGACTTCACCTGCGGGGCAGCCACGCCTGGGGGTGGACCGCAGGCGGCCACAGGGGTGGCCCTTTGGTGGCTGGAACCTGCTCCCCATTACCCTCCCCAAACCCTCTGCTCTCCACACTGTTCTTAACGCAGCTGCGGGGGTCTCAGGAGAGTCACCCCAGCTCCCAAAGGACGCCCTGCAGCTGGGGAGACAGGCAGCATGAAGGAATATGCATGACATGAGGGAGGCACCAGATTAAATAACAGACGTGCACTGGGCTGAACAGGGTCGCCCAGGAGCCGTGTCCATTCAGAGCCTCCAAGCGTCACCTCATTTGGAAACAGGGTCTCTGCAGATGTAATGAGTTAAGATGAGACCGTGACGGACTAGGGTGAGTCCTGGCTGAAGACTGGAGTCCTTATGAGAAGAGAAGAGAGAGACACAGGGGGAAGGGGCCACGTGAGGCAGAGGCAGAGACCGAGGTGCATGTCCACACCCCAAGGAAAGCCAAGGGCGCCGGCAGGTGCTGGAAAAGGGAAGGAAGGGACCCTCCTTCAGAGGGACCCAGTCGGCGCCCCGATCTGGACTTCGGGACTCTGTTATGTGAGAGAACAAATGTCTGCTTTTTTCAGTCACTGCTTGGAGGGATTTTGTTCCAGCAGCCCCAAGACAAGAGCACGGTGTGTGATACACCTGTCCTGGAGCCTGGCAGGTGCAGAGAGGCGACGATGGTGGTGGAGGGGGAGCCTGTGCATCCCCTCCTTAGGGGAGAGCTCAGAAGTCTAACCCAACCCCACTGTGAGGCCCTACTTGAACCCCTCCATGGACAGGGAGCTCGCCTCCTGCTAGACACTTCTCGAGATCCAAGCTCCACGGGCTTTCCTGAGCTCAGCCTCCAGGGAACTCTCACCACTGGATCTAGTGAATGGAGAGTAACCAGCATTGGACAGCTGTCAGCTTTCCCAAGGCTTCACCCTGGCTGATTCTCAGGAGCGCCCATGGGGTCTGGGGGTGGGGGTGTGTGACTCAGAGACATGTTATCCACTTACTCACACATCAAAGGTGCATCAGGCTCCCATCAGACTCGGACCCAGAGCTGGGTATAAGTCAGACAGACTGAATGTTTTGAAGTCTATGGTAAAGACTCTTGAGAATCCCTTGGACTACAAGGAGATCCAACCAGTCAATCCTAAAGGAAATCAGTCCTGACTATTCTGATGGACTGGTGCTGAAGCTGAAGCTCCAATACTTTGGCCACCTGATGCGAAGAGCTGACTCATTGGAAAAGAGTCTGATGCTGGAAAAGATTGAAGGCGGGAGAAGGGGACAACAGAGGATGAGAAGATTGGATGGCATCACCGACTCGATGGATGAAAGTTCAAGCAACCTCCAGGATATAGTGAAGGGAAGCATGGCGTGCTGCAGTCTATGGGGTTGGGAAGAGTTGGACAGGACTCAGCAACTAAACAATAACAACACAGTAGAATCTCAATTTTATGGGGAAAGCGCTGCAGCTCAGGAAAACCAAGTGACCTTCCAAGGCCACGTTGCCAGGTGCAAACGCAGCCTTCCCTCACTCCTTCCCGCCATGAACTGCCACGCTTCTCGCATCTCCCCATATGGACTGGATAATCGGACACGCAGGGAACAGGCCAGGGGCAGCTCTAAGGCCTGAGGCTGGCCAGTCCCCAGGGCCTCCCCTCCTGCTTCATTTCTCTCTGGCCGTGGCCCAGAGAATCCTCCTGTGACCTTGGTCAAGGAAGAAAGTGCCAGTGAGTGCCTGCCTGGGCCAGTAAAACATTCTGCAAACCCCAAAGATTTTCTTGGACCGAAGCGTGGGCCTGAAAGGAAATATCCTGGTTACTGAGCTGCAGAGAGTTCATGGAGCCCGGAGTCTGACGTACATGGGCTTGGGAACGACGTTCTCATGTGTCCTTGGGAAGCCTTTCCCGGCCGACCGCCCCAGGAGAGCATCCAGGATGAGGGGAACAGGCACAGTCCCTGTCCATCACCACCTCTGGCCGCAAACGTTCCCCTTTGGAAGCAGATGCGCAGAACAGCAGGTAAGCCCCGCCTGGGGCCCCAGGGGGCATGCTTGCCCATCAGGTCTGGGCCGGGCTGTGGGGGTGGTGGAGGGGTCAGATGGCTTCGAAAAACATAGGATCAGCCAGAGCCTCGCAGACCGCAAAGACCGTGGGACTGATAGGTTTAAAAACCAGAAGGGAGTGTGGCGCTGGACATCTCCATGAGAGACATCAGGTCCCAAGCGTAACCTCAGTGCGCTGGCAGAAGCAGCCGACCCTTGACGACCCTAGCCTGCTCTCCTCCTCCAGTGTCCCCCACATCAGGGCGACGGCCCAGGACACATGTGCTTAATACATGTTTGCTGGACGAGACTGCACACGCAAAGCCAAGGCAGGGTCTATGCCCTTGAATTCAGAGGAAACCGACATGGAAGGTCCAACTCCAATCAGGCGCACCCTGGCGCCCTGTTACATTTGAAAAAATGAAGCAAGCGAAATGACCCTCAAAAAGAGAAGATGGGGGATGATGGATGTAATTGGCAGCGAACGCAAGAGGCTTTGATTGGGGTACCAGAGTATCTATTTCATTCCTCTGGTCTCAGCCCTCTCCACTGAGTAATAAGCTCATTCAAGAGGCCTGAATTCCAGCTACTTGGCTTTGCACAGAAATGAATGCTCTTTTCAAAAATGTGGAAATTAAACCTCCACGCACTCAAGCCTTTGAATCAGCCTCTCTTGAAATCAATGCCATTGTTCCTGCTCCATCATTTACCTTGAAGCCAGGGCAAGGCATGCATTTTGTCAAGAGGGAAAAAAAATAGAAGGTAGCCTCTTAAGGGAAAAAGAACAAAAAGCAGGCAAACCAGAGAGGAATGAGAAGGAGTGAGTCTCGGAGCCTCCGAGAAGGAGCCGCGGGCAAGCGGACTGCCAGGCTGACAATACTCACCCGCACGACCACCACTTGCACGGAGACATGTTCCGGGAGGTGAATCGGGGCCCGGAAGTGCATGGCCAAGGCCACGAGGAGGTGGAGGATAGCCACTAGATTCTTCCCGTGGATCGCTGGCCGGGGAGGCAAGAAGTGAACTGTTTTAGATCATAAGACAGGAACCCCAAGCCCACGTCCCAAAGGCAGTGAAACCAACCCCAAAGGGCCTGCTGCAAAGCACAGGGAACTATACTCAATATTTTGCAATAACCTCTAAGGAAAAAAGGAGGCTTCCCAGATGGCTCAGTGGGTAAAGAATCCACTTGCAACGCAGGAGACTCAAGGGACGAGAGTCCGATTCCTGGGTCGGGAAGATTCCCCTGGAGGACGGTATGGCAACCCACTCCACTATTCTTGCCTGGAGAATCCCATGGACAGAGGGGCCTGGAGAGGGGGCTACAGTTCACGGGGAGGCAAAGAGTCTCACACGACTAAAGTATCTGAGCCCAATAAGAAAAACGAATCTGAAAAAACGTGTACGTGTAACTGAATCACTCTGCCGAACACCTGAAACTAACGCAACACTGGAAATCAACTATACTTCAATTTTTAAAAAGGAAAAGGGGAGAGAAGGCAATGAAGATGCTGAATGCAAGTGAGAGCTCAGGATAACCACGGGCGGAACCACAGGCCACGGAAACATGGAGAGAGCTGAGAAGCATCCTGTGTGAATTTGGTCCGTGCAGAAGCCAGAAGGCTTCTCATTTTTTCTTCCCTGTTGGCCTCAGGTGACTGACGCAGCTGCGTTCAGAGGTGCACCGTTCGTAGAAGGAGTGAACCGGTGGTGGGGAAGGAGAGCGCATGAGCAGGAACTTACAGCGGGCACAGGAGACGGGAGAGGTTCCGGAAAAGCAGGTCACCTGGCCGCTGACCCACCCACAGCCACGCGCATTCTTATCTGGGCACTTAACGGTCCTTCCTCTATGCCGCCGAGTGTCTCCAACAGGGAACGCCAAGCAGTGCAAACAGACCCTGGGGGTGTTGGACGTTGACTCCCGCCCTGCCTGGGGCCCTGGCTGCCAACCCAGCCCCACCAGCTCTTGTGCAGGATGTGGGCCAAGGCGTGGTTGTCACCCACCCTGTGCCAGGCTTCTCTGATTCCCTCCCCCAGCCTCACAACCCAGGAGGCGGGTCTGTCCTGGGTCTCCATGCCAGAGGAATTGGACAGCCATCTTGGTCTCACCCAAGTGCAGGGACCCCAAGTGCAGCCCCGCCCTGGGGGTGAGGCTGGGCAGTGGGCAGCTGGGTCAAGCCCTTTCCAGCCTCTCATGGTCAATGCTCCACTTCTCTGGGTTTACGTTCCGGCCTGAAATACTATGATGCATGTATTCTTAAAGCCAGCACACTCGGTGACATGCTCTGGGGACCAGACTGAACCCCATCTCGAGGTCTTGCCCCGGCGAGTCACCAGTAACACAGCTCACTGGGTGTTGGCGCCCCCAGTATGTGGGGTGGAAGAACCTCTCAGAGCTTCTTCTGTCTTATAACCCAAACCCCCGCCCTGGCTCTGGAAGTCTCCCTTGACCAACCAGAAACAACCCCTCTCCACTCTAAAGCCCGGGGACATCAGCAGGTGTGACTTCACCCCTTACCGATGGGCCCCTGGGACCATCGCCTTGCTCCACTCCTGGCCGCCTCTCTCAGACCCGTACGGTGACCCGGCCAGACCCGCAGATGAATGACTAGGCAGGCAGCTCGACGGCCAGGCCCCCAGCTCCCCCCTGGACCCGCCAGCCACTTACAGTCCACACTCCACTGGGGCGGCCGGCTGTGGGGCCGCAGCAGCTCCTGCACCGCCTCTAGCACTGTCTGCAGCTTTTGCTTCTGTCCGACTTCCGACTGCGTCACCTCGGCCACGTTCAGCTTGCAGTCTGCCAGCTTTTCTGCAACGAGAAGGATGAGGACAGTGTCAGGAAAAGCTGGAGGGACTCAGGGCCACCTGGTCAACCGGCTGCGATGAGGTCTCCCCACCCCTGGCATGGTCGAGTGGATCGGATCACCCCCAGCCTTGGGGCCCGCCAGGATGCTGTGCCGTGGAACAGCATGGAACTTGCTGTGCCGTGGAACTCTGAACTTGCAAGTCACCCCTGTTCCTTAGAAAACCACACCAGCAGGAAAAGGAGGGGTGCGGAGGTCAAGGATTCAAGTGTGGATGTCCCACCTGGGAACATTTTACGCCCAGAGAATTGACAGGATGATTCAGGGTGTGGCTGGGGAGGTGAGGAGGTGACCTGCGGGGACGGGACCGGAGGTGAGGAGGCTAGGCCAGCGGGCTCCCAGGAGGAGGAGGACTTTGATGAGAAAACAGGAAGGCCTCAGATGTGGCCCCTGCCTCCTTGCACCTTGCACACCCCCCTTCTTCTTTCTCTAGCGCTCGGACCCCACGGCGAGAAGGGTTATGTGACATTCAGTTCCCTGAGACTCTTTTCTCACCAAGAGGGAGCAGGAAGCATCAGGAGGAGCCGGCCAGCCTGGTCACGTCTGCTCCAGACTCATTTACGGAGACTAAGCCTTGGGCTTCCCCGGTGGCTCAGCTGGTTAAGAATCTGCCCGCAATGCAGGAGACCTGGGTTCGATGCCTGCGTTGGGAAGATCCCCTGGAGAAGGGAAAGGCTCCCCACTCCAGTATTCTGGCCTGGAGAATTCCATGAATGTATAGTCCATGGGGTCACAAAGAGTCGGACACGACTGAGCGACTTTCACTTTCACTAAGCCTCAGCCTTCGAGCCTTCATTCCCTTCCCGGGCAGGGCCAGAGGGACCCCTCATTGCACTCTTGTTGAGGGGCAGGCTAGGAGGGCTCCCCAGGCTTCCTGCCTGTTCACTCATTCCCAGACTCGGGGGTTCCCCGATAGGTCTCCTCTGCAAAGCAACAGACAGGACGTCACAGGACATAATGAGATCAGGAACGCGGACAGTGATGAGAAAGTGCTGGGCAGAGAGCCGGACGCGCTGCGAGCCTCAGGCACGGAGGTGCCGGAGGCGGTGGCCCTGACGGGAGGGAGGTGCAAAGGCCGTCGCGTCCAGGCCAGGCACAGGCAGGCCTTCTGTTTGGCGAGCGGTCCCCAGCAAGGATCGTTTAAGGCGTCTTCTCCAGAGGCCCCTGCTACTTCAACACGGTCTCCCCACATCCTCCCCTCTCTCAACCAGCACAAGAAGAAGCAGTTTAAAAGCCCCCTTTTAGGGGGGACCCTATGATGACACAGCAATACCTGCGGGAATGAAGGACACACCTTCATTCATTCATTCACTTATAGAACAGTTACTGAGCACC